GCCGCTTCATATTGCGCTGAGTGTTGTGGGTTCGATCCCTCCATGGAACAACAGTTTGTGTGATCCACAAATTGTTGATCTGAGTCTGGGTGTTCTTTGTGTCCGTTTCATGTATGTTTGTAAAGTCCCCCGCGACACAATAATATATTCCTAATGCGGGAGTTACCCTTAAAAAACAACTATCTATCTTATTACCCGTTCTAAGGTTATCAAGCAGTCAATGCTTACTCCCTTCCTTCTAGGTATTATTCTTATTCAATTATTCCATATTCTTCTTCTTTACTTTTTCTTTTGTTTTATTTTCAACATAGTAATTTTGTACGTTTCATGCTTTTGAGCATTAAGAACGGACTTACTGCTTCTTTCTTCTTGAATATACATAACATAGTCTAGTACAACATTATTAAAGGGAATTCCACTTTGCGCAATAATCCCGTGCGTATGGCGGTCCCGACCAATGAGATATTAATCTACAGTTCTTAGCCCCTGCCCTCGTTATTAACCTCATATAAAAGCGATCTCATAAACTGGTGGCCATTTATCACTAATACAGGCTACTGTTGTTCCCGATAGGGCAGAGCGCTGAGAGGGTTATGACTTTGTAATATTTTATTACTCGTAAATGCTATGAGCTTAGATATTCTCCAAATAACTCATAAGGTTTGCTACATATTTTTCGAGCCCCTGCCTTATCAAATATATTTCAATTAAAGTTCTGTGAAAGCCTGTGTGTGTTTTTTAAATCCACATATATTTTGATAAGTTTTGGATTAAAAGTTAAGTGGAAGTAAATAAAAAAACACCATAAGTTTTATATTAGTGCTGAAATTCACTGTGATGTCATCGCTCTTTCATGTAAGAAATAAGTAATTAATATTTATCATATTTTACAAGCATATTTATCCATCCATGCAACTGGCATGGATGGATAAATATGCTTGTAAATATAAAAATAATCATTCAAATCTTACGTATAGTTCCAGAGATTATCGCGTTCAAACAAACTAGCATAAATCATCATTGTCATATTAGTATAAACAATATTTTCGAATTATTAAACATACTAAAAGGAATCCTCGTACTACAATGCTAAGTACGCAAACATAGTATCATCGCAAAAAATATCCTTATCAAGATCATAGCCTTACCGTGGTTCACTATTTTCCATGCTTTCGGCAGATCCGTACATTATTTTTTTATATGTCTCGTCTTTATCTGACGTATTAGTGACCCTTTAAAGGATTTCGCTAGTAATAGGAAGAGATTTACCGTAATATTTCAATCTGGGTCGCTTTGATCTGCCAATACTTGAATATTTTTCTGTAGGATAAAAGAAATGTTTGGATTTCCATACCCTTATAATGCGGATAATATCATGTATGGTAAACTTACCGATGTACAAGTAGTAATCATCGTGTTTAGTCGTTATCTAAAAGCATAGATTTTTTCTGGGCTATTACCTAACTCTCTCTTTAATGTATTATTTGGTACACGTGTATCTATTTTTGAAACTTAATAGCCCTGGGAAGTAACTAAGTTTACGTCTTATACTTGAGAAACGCCAGTACATGCCTCCTTATAAGCCTATTAAATTAAAGTAAATCTAATTATTAAATAATTATTCTAAAAAATCGGTTACTTAGAAAAGTACTGTCAAGACATGAATTTCGGCAGTAAATATGCACAGAAGTACTGTCTATTAAAAATCAATTTTTAAAAAATAACAGACGTTTCGCTTTGGCGCATAAAACTGTCAGAGGAATTTTCGGTCTGCTTTATGATTCAGCTTAATTTGTTTGGATCATCGATTGGTTTTTACGTGTATCATCATCATCATCATCAACAGCCTTTAATAGTCCACTGCTGGACATAGGCCTCTTCTTAGAAAGAAGGTTTTGGTCCACTATACCACGCTGGCCAGACGGGTTTGTATAGGGTTTGTGTCAAGTTTTCCGTCTTTTTGCAGTGCTGGTGTCCTGCGTTGTTTTGCGCCCTTAGTCGGTTCTTACGACACCCACGGGATGAATTGGGGTAGTGACATTCCGTATTCTTAATCCGTCACTACACGGACACGTGTATAATTATGTATTATTTTTAACCGACTTGAACATGTCTAATAATATAAAGCACATATACATATGTATATCTTGTGCGGTCGTGACTCATCCGGTCATCATGTTCACATTAATGCAGATCAGATAAATTTTAAACCTCCTTTCTAAGGAGAGGCCTATATCCAGCAGTGAATTATTCAAGGCTGTTGATGATAATGATGATGAGATCCATTTTACAGGCAACAATTGTAAACTAACTTACCAATGAAATTACTCAATAAAGATGTCGATAATGATCAGAAGTCCCTGCTACCAATAGCTCTTGAATAGCTCAAATACGCTCATCGGAGACATTTTAACAGCGTGAAACGCGATAATATCGTTAATAAGTTTCTGACCCCACTTACTATCAATATCGTGTCGCATTCATTGGTGATCGCTGAAACACGTAAACAATGCATCTCTACTAGTTGTTATTAACACTACGGCCTACGTGATAATATTGCTTCTTCAGTTTTATCACGAGTACGAAGTCGGAGGTCACGGCCTCCCAACAGAAGCCATTGCATATTGTCAAGCTTTGGCAACAATTTGAAACTTCCTGTTCCTGTTAGCCAACGTTTACACCAAAGTATTAATTAACCAATAGTACGAAACGCTAAGTAATTTTATATATACTATTTGGTGTATTAAAATGAAATCAAAGAGAAAAGTGGTGTGTCAGACTGAAACTGAGTAAAACCGCATACTGTCCGAGTATTATGATAAGGTGTACCAAAAAAAACCATCGTTATGAACCGTGGCAGATGTGGCTACCTGTTAAGTAAGGCGAACCACCAAAAAAAAACAAATCCTTATTACACTACATAAAATAAATACACAGAGTGGAGATGTACAATAAGATGAAATTTTTATCCCTTCCTTTAATTAGTTTAGTTAGTAAAGCAAAGACCTGTACTCGAGATTAGAATATATGTCGAGACTGTTATTCTGTTTGACCTAAAGCTAAGGATAGGGATGTTTAGCGTTTAGTATGCTAATCTACTTCATTATGCTGAAGTACCTAATACTATATATTACTCTCGTCAGCGAAGGAAAAAAATGCAATGCATCCCTTGAGATATTCCAAGCTAGGATTCCTTCCATGCTTTTAGGTGTAACGCTATTTCGCAGAATTTTATGTAAAATACATATTTCAAAATATCGGATATCCTATTTCAAAACATTGGATATATAATTCAAATATTACTGTATTATTTACATCATGTGTCAGATAATGTTTTTTTTTATATTAATACCTTGTCGTTATATTTATATTATCGTACGATACTATTCAGAAACTTTTGTCATTGTTGTCATTGTAAAAAGATTGTAATGTAGAAGATTGTCTTAGAATTCGGAAGCACTTTAAGTATTTAAAATATAAAAACGGTAGTTACTGTATTTCACTCTGGTGCACCGGAGTAGGCAGTTATGAGACCTATACTATTTTAAGAGGTAATGCGGGTGAAGTGTGAAATGTAATATTTACTAGTAATAACGTAAATGTATGGAAGAAAAACTACTTTGAACAGTTTCGTTTACAAGTGTTATCAATAACTTGTATATTGCCGTCTACATTACCGTTATAAAACCACTTAGACATAGGGATATTCCGATACTAATAAATACGAGTAGGTACTCGATACTTTTGATTCGATACCAAGTATTTATTGTATCGAATCAATTTTGCGATACATAATCGGTATCGAAACAAAAATACTTGGTATCGAATCGAATCAGCAAAACAACCGAATACAATAAAAAAAACCGAGAACGCATCATACAGAACTAAGAGAGCAAAAACGAGGCAAAAACAAACTCAAACTCAACTCAAACTCAAACTTTCTTTATTTCATAAAATTTTCAAAATTGTTTGAAATCGTCTTCCATGTAGACTCTAAAGTCATAGATCAACACACACAAAAGCAACAATCTCTGTTTTGTCAAATAGTAACCAAATAAATTTAACAAAATCAAACCCATACAAAATCTATGATATGCCTGTGCCGATCTACAACCGCCCGTTTCCAAGGGGTTGAGCCTTATGAGAAGAAAGGGCAAACAAACTCATGGCCACTCTTTTGCAATTCACAAGTAGATACAATGGCACTATTAAATATATCACAACATTGTTTTGATGTATGCTAGTATGTCCGTTATTAAGGACTTAAAGGTGAAAAAACAACGAAGAGAAAACAAGATTAAGAAGAACAATCGAGAACGAATACAAGAGAAAATGAAGTGAAACATAAAAAATAAAAAAAATAATAAAAAACATACTAGCCACACCACATTTTTACTTAAGAAAGAAATAGCCTGCGCTAATTAATCCCAAGCATTCTTGTCCTCCATGTAATCCACAATCGAGTAGTAGGCCCTCTGGCACAAGCCACGTTTTATTGCGGATTTAAATTTGTTAATACTCAACTCCTGAATATTATTTGGGATTTTATTATAAAATCGGACACATTGACCTCGAAATGACTTGTTTATCTTTTGGAGCCTAGAGGCGGGAACAGTCAGCTAATCAGGTTACCGAGTTACCGGTATTCGTCGCGTGGCGGCGTGAGTGACGCGTTGTCTCGCGCTGGGCTAGCCGAATTCGTCCGACTTCAGCCGAGCCCGCCCGAGCCGAAAGCGAGAGAAGAAAACACCCGCACCCGCTCGCAAATCATCTCGCCATTCCGCCATTGTGAAAGTGTTAAGTGATTGCTTACAAGTAATTTTATTAATTGTAATCATCAAATTCATCGGTTTATTCCAATGTTATCATGGCACCACCAAAATCTATAATATGGACACATTTTACCAAAACAAACGAAACAATTGCAAAATGTAAACAGTGTTTTAAGTCTGTGAAGTATTGTGGGAATACGTCGAATTTATTCAAGCATTCTAAAACTTATGGAATTTCTGTGGACAAAGGCAAATTACAGAAAAAAGAAAATAATAAGTCCAACGAAAGGTAGGATTCTAAACTATTCTTTTTTTTTGCGATTGCTTTCCTAAGATGTTAAATAAAAAATCCTACCTACTCCTACCTATTTTATTTGTATAAAAAATAGTTTTGCAGCAGTGGTACTGTGATTGTCTTGTCTATATATTAATAATATATGAATAATAATTGATGACCGGTGATGAGATATTTCCTTTGTATAAATACGATTTAAACAATTTAAGGTTATGTGTTTGTTTTTGTTAGTGTAATAGTGTTGTTAAATGGCGGTAGTGTTGGAGTTGGTATTATCGATACTTTGAAGATTATCGATCTATCAAGTGTTAATTTTTGTTATTATGTTTCAGTTCAAAAAATACAATAGTGTTGGCCAACTCAAGGCATTTAATGGAAGATGATCAACCCCAAGCATCAACATCGAAAATTTCAGAAGATCGTGATGATTGCTCTAGTGTAACCACATTAACAAGTATGGACTCGGAGACTGCAAGGGAGCTATGTCTGAGCAATTCAATAAAGAATGCGTTTGAACGAATTTCATCTAATAAAGGTAAATAAATAGATATTTAATTAAATATTAGCAAAATAATATTAATACATATAGTATTAGTGTTAAAGAAAAAAATATAAATATTTAATTTAATATTACATGTATTAAAATTGAGTTTTATTTTTAGCTGGTGGTACGAAGTATAACAGAATTGTTCAAGCATTGATATTTTTTATCTGTCAAGATATGCGTCCATTTAATATAGTTGAAGGTGAAGGCTTTTTACGACTTGTAAAAGAACTGGAGCCTACTTTTAAAGTTCCTGGCACAAAGTATTTAAAGAAAATGACTACCGAAAAGTACGAAGCTTGTATAACTATTTGTAAGTCCAAATTATCCAAGATAGACAATTTCTGTTTAACGCTGGACATATGGACAGAGACAATGAATGAAGTAGGATTCATGGGCGTCACCATACATTTTGTAGAAAATGGTCAAATGTGTATGTATTATCTTGAAACTCGTGCATTAAGACAGCGACATACAGCTGAATACATATCGGAAAACCTGCTGGATATTTTGAAAAAATGGAATATTCCACTTACCAAAATTCGTGCTGCTGTATCAGATAATGCCAGTTCAATGTTGGCTGCCATACGAATGTCTTTAGGCGAAAAAAAACATTTACCGTGTTTTGCCCATACTATTAACCTTGTAGTTGAAGAGGCACTAAAGTTGCCCAGTGTTAAATCAGCTGTTATAAAAGTACGAGAAATTGTTAATTGGATAAAAAATAGTGTTGTGCAGTCGGATAAGCTACGAAAAATCCAAATGCGTAATAATGTTTCGGCAGGATCAGTTTTAAAACTTATTGCAGATGTAAGAACTAGGTGGAACTCAACTTTTTTTATGTTAGAGCGATTTCTAAAGTTAAGAATAGTAATATCAGAAATTGTAATTGAGAGTGTAGTGGCTCCAAATTTGCCAAGTGCAGTGGAAATGGAAACCTTGAATGAGCTTACAACTGTATTAAAGCCTTTTGAATATGTAACAAGAGAATCATCGGGCCAAAAGTATGTAACAATCTCCAAAATTATACCAATGCTTAATTGCTTAACTACAGAACTGAATAGTATCACTCCAAACTCCGCTATCGTTAAAGAATGTAAGGATGTTTTATTGAGAGAGCTGAAAAGGAGGTATGGGATGATTGAATTAAACGATCATGCAGCCATTGCAACAATTCTAGACCCAAGGTTTAAAAATCTGCATTTCCAAGACCCCTCTGCATGCGGAAGAGCTATTCAAAAACTTAGAACCATGGTTGTCGGACAACTAAGTAGCCCAAGTGAGTCAGAAGATGATGTCTCATCTACTGCACCACCGGAATACGATTTTTGGAAACATCATAAAGAGTTAGCACATGGGCACAAGAAGAAAAAAAAAATCTCATCAGGGAGATGAAGTTTCTCTTTATTTATCAAATCCAGTAGTTTCTCTTAAAAGCAACCCATTTGCAGAATGGGATGACATGAAGTTGGTGTTTCCTTGTCTGTACAAGTATGCACAGCAATATTTAATTGTTGTTGCAACATCAGTTCCTAGCGAGTGCCTTTTTTCCAAAGCCGGTGCAACAATGACACAAACAAGAAACAGATTGTCTTCTAAATACCTTGAACAGTTACTGTTTTTGGGCAATCTTAATGCTGAAAAGTTTTTTGTTTAAATTATAATAAGCCTAATAAACATTTATAATAAATAAATAGTTTTTTTCGTCTCAATTTTGTTTAAATTATTATCCTTCAACGTTCATTGATAGCACCCTCAAAATAATAAAATAAAAGTTCCAAAAAGTATCGATATCAGTAAGTATCGATACTTGAGGAGTACTTATTTGTGTAGTATCGAAAAAAGATTTGAGTATTATCGAAATGAGTAAGTATCGATACTTAGGTGGTATCGGAAAATCCCTACTTAGACAGAAACAACACCCCACACTCTCCCCGCAAAGGTAAAGGAACGATCATCGAGAGCTTTTAGTAATTCTACTGCCGCGCACCACGTCTCCTCTTCTGGTGTGAAAGTCTCGGGAACAGCTTACTATAGAACTTATCCTATAAAGTAAGGTCTTAATACATTCAGTTGCCACAGGCCAGGTTATTGACTCACGGAGAGTCTTAACACCGTAACGCAGAATGTGACGTAACATTTATGGCGCCATCTGGTGCAAGCATATTGTAACTAATAGTGACGTCACGAGACAAGCATGGTATTTTGTAATATCAAATTGAGGTTATGATAAGTGGCAGACATGAGCATAGTGAATACGTGACTGTGAGCTTGAATAGTTTATAAATTCATGAAGTCAAATACGTTTAGCTCTGTGGAGAGCTAATAGAAGATTTGTATTTTAATGACTTTTAATTAAGGCACATAAAAACTTTTACGCGACGTATTAAAACATATTGATGCATCGCCACTACTTATGCTTAATTTTAAACCACAATAGTTAGGTATATAAAATATTTAACTATAGACTTTGAAGATTGATTTCAATAAATGTATTCAGGTAGCCGGATAAACACGTTTCTATTTTTATGCTATTTCTATTATTATTACTGTAGAATGAATAGAGCGGGGTGGTCAAAGATTACTAGATAAGATAAGTATAAACGAAATTATAATGAAAAAGTAAGCCTACCACGAATACATTTGTTGAAATCTATCTTTAACATCTAAAGTATTTTTTGAATAATATACTGCAATACAGTAAATAAGCAAATTTTAATTTCATAACAAATATTTTACTCTAGATGTTACAATACTTCGTATTGTCATTCTAATTTCGTTTATACTAATCTCATTTACTTATCGTTCAACACTCCGCTTCAGTCATTCTACAGAAATAACTACAAGAATAATAAGTATAAATTGAGTTTACTACGATCATGTCTGAAACTTGACATAACCTCAATTTGACATGACAAAATACCATGCTTGTCTTGTGACGTCACTTTTAGTTACAATATGCTTGCACCAGATGGCGCCATAAATGTTACGTCACATTCTGCGTTACGGTGTTAAGACTCTCCGTGAGTGAATGACGTGGCCTGTGGCAACTGACTTTATTAAGACCTTACTTCATAGGATCATTTCTATAGTAAGCTCTTCCCGAGACTTTCACACTATGTGAGTCCTCGTAAACCACGATGATTAGACGTGGCGCGGCACCTTGAGCGTGAGGCGGGCGGTAGTAGATTTACTATGAGCCCTCGATGATCGTTCGCTTTCCTTTGCGGGAGAGTGTGGGGTGTTGTCGCTGTCTGAGTGGTGTTATATTTATACACCTATAACATGAAGACAAGCCAGTGTGAAAATTTTTATAAACTAACTAAGAATCCCACATAAAATTATTTTTACAATGACGATAATGACTAAATTTTCTGATAATGACTAAATTTATGTATTATATTTACTCGTACGATACTATCGTACGAGTAAATACAATACATAAATATATTAACATCAATATCTGACACATGGTGTGAATATAGTGGAATCGGATCCAACTCTATCTACGTGTGAGCTTGCTGCGGGCTTTGGAGTTAGTGTACGTGTACATGTGTGTAAGAACATGGCAGCACTGGCGTCACATCAGAAAGACAAAATATAAGCTAGCTAAGTGGATACCACACTAACCAAGCGATCATCACCGAGACTTACGCGTTGAAACCTGCATAGCACTACTGGCATAAAAACTAGGGAATTCTGAATGGAATTGTAATCTGCGATGAAATTGGATCCCGTACGACGATCGTAAGCGTTCGTCTGAGTGGGTAGACCCGGGTACAGCACCTAATCAGTGCACTAAAAAAAAAGAAGAATGGCACAACAGGGGCGGCAGATGTCTATTGCCAAGAATTGCAAACAATGATGAAGAAGCTCGCAATTCAATAACCAGTCAATCGCTCTTCCCCATGGCTGCTCCACGACAACGCGCGAGCTCACACTTTACGACAGACCATCGCAAAGCTACAAGAGTTACAACTGAAAACTCTCCATCGCCCACCTTACCCACTGGACCTTGCTCCAACAAATTTCAACTTTTTCTAAATTAAGACAATTTTGTAAGTGGGAAACATCACAAAATTATTTCACTGATTTTATCGCCTCCCGTCCAGCAGACTTCTACAGTAAAGGGATAAACTAACTATTATCAAAATGGTAAAATGGTATAGATAATTTGGTCCAGTACGTACTTTGTTTAGCTAAAATAATTTCCAACTTCATAGGTAAAGACCTAATACAAACATAAATTTAGTTTAAATTCGTAGTTTTATTATATGTAAAACATATGCAATAACAAAAGAAAAACTATTTGCCTTTTATTACTAAATAAAATCAGTTTGTATGTATGTGTTTGTGTGTGTATGCGTGTGAAATCCTATGTACGAGTGTGTGTATATGTGTGTGTGTGTGTGTGTGTGCTTTTAACATTTATCATTTGTCAGTTATTAACATTACCGTATCAAGCAAGCCGAGAACGTTGCGGCCCTTTTAGTGTCCCCTTATTTTTTTCTCATGTTTTTGTTGTGTCGAACTCAAACCGACCAAAAACCGCAAGCCATCTCGGGTACCAGTAGTCGAGGAACCAGGTGTACCTTAGATAGGAACTTCCTTTTATTGTCCCCTAGAATTATTAGGGGTTCGGTCTCCGGTGATAGCAACTAAAGAATTTCTTAATATCTTAAGCAATACCAAATTATAGAAATTATAATTTTTCTTACTCATAAACAACAGAACCCTATTTAACAACCTAAACGTTACAAATTGTAATTGTATTGTATAAGTTATAAATCTACAAGTTTCTGTTTAATAAAGAATACAACTTACAAATTTACCAACGTGGAAAACTGTCAAAATTCTAAAATTTTAGGTACAATTTTAAATTTCTTACATAATTGTAAGGTTTATTATACAGCACTTGTCATATGTCACTTATTTACAAAATAGTCGGATTGTAACGTTTATTAAACAGGGCCCTGGTTACTATGAATTAAACCCGAGAGTTAAGTCGCATACCAAATTGAAATATAAACTACTGCTTTATTACAAAATTTTCACAAAGGCACTATGGCCTGGAAAACTAGTTTCAATTTTATAAGCTAAAATGTAGTTTTCTCATACATACCCACCACTCATCCTGTTATAATCTCAATATCATCATCTCACTGGAACCAAGGAAAGGTGATGTGTCAGACCGACTAAAACCGCGTAATATTTCAGGTCTTATGTTAAGGGCAGCGTGCCCCAAAGAAATATTATTTGTGAACCCCGGCAGGCCAGGCTACATCCAATTTATTTTAGAACAAATGACAACCAAGAATTCAACTATTGTATTGTACACAAACATCATACTACAAAAAAAACTACACACAATGGATGTTTATTCACAACGGGTTGCAAATTTAGTCCGTTACTTCACTTAGTTTAGTTAGTAAAGCTAATACAGACATACTCGAAATCAGAAATACATGTCGAGACTGTTATCCTGTTTGACCAGAAGATAAAGATGGGTATGTTTAGCGTTTAGGATGCTAACCTATTTCATTCAGTTGTAGTAATGCTATTATATATAAGTCTTGCCTAAGTAGGAAAATAAAAGGCAATATTTTTCAACATAAATAAGAAAGATAATTTAATTATCTGTTGTCAAGATTAATGTGTATCCCTTGGGATATTCCTTAATTTTGTCATTGCCATTCCTGCTACAGAAACGTTAGTAATTACGATGTCCTTCGCCTTGAATCAGATAATATTTTACTTTATCTTACGTTTAAAATAAATACACAAAAAATGTCGGATTCTAATATTGAGTGATCAGATTGCCAAGTATTTAAGGTACTTATAATGTTGTCTTTATTTAAAGCATTTAAACATATTTTGCACAGATTACCAAATCTTATATCTGCCACTTCTCATAACTTAAATTTGACATGACAAAAAACCATGCTTGTCTTGTGACATCATAAATAAGAAATATCTAAATTCTTGCTGTACGTCATAATTACAACATTGATTATTGTAAAAAAATACTGTTTATAATGAGATTTATTTTTGACCCATTGAGTAACTTACTTCAGTTTTACTTTATCAATCGATGGAACTATCCATGGATGACAGGTATGGTTTTGTCAGAAAATAATATAAAAATTAGGTTAAACTCACGGTTGATTTTATTTTATTTTTTTCAAATTATGTATAGATATTTATAAGATCGAATAATAAATAATCAAGAATTTCTTCTATAATTCAAATAACACAAAATAAAAGATTTATTATTAATTATATTATTTTTTTTATCAATGTAACGTTGTTCTGAGTGTACCGACCTGAGTGATGATTAATAACAAAAGTTAGTCAAAATTTCTAATTTAACTAAGTTTATTGTTATCGTTTGTTTT